GCAGACTGTTTGTACAGGTGGCCGTTAGAGTTAGTTTAGTTTAGTTTACTTACTTACTACCCGTTACGCCATCTGGCGTTTAGGGCAGCAACAAAGGATCTCCAGCTCTGTCTGTTTTGGGCCATCTTGGTCAGCGTCCCCCACGAGTTTAGTTTAGTAAGAGGTTTTTTTACCGCGCTCGCAACTGCATCAGGTCATTTTATATGAGCACGCAAAACACAAGATGCTTGCTTCCATAGCAGTTCACAGCATGGCTTGGTTTAGGTCAATGATTCAATTAATATGTTAGAAGTTTGTGGTAAAATATTCTATCTAAAAATGACAGTTTACTTCAGATTAAAACTACAGTACTTACAATTTACTGTAAAGGCCAATGGCCTTTATAAAATCGAGAATTCTGTTGGGATCAATCTCGGAGATCTTGCAATTTTTTGCATTTTAAAATACATACATGTATTTCCCTCGGGTCTCTCCAAAGTCTGGACATTCTGTTATGTGTCTAATGGAGAAATCTGAGTCGCCAGAACGGTTTCTCATATCCCTGAAGGAGGTATTTATGTGTCAGGGAGGTGTGTCCGATACGTAAGCGAGTAAAATTGACTTTGTCTCTTCTGGAGTTCTGAGGCCCAAAGGTGTTTATGGACCCAGTTTGGGCATGATGTTGTGGAATTTATATATATATAGAGAGAGAGCTATGTTCCTTCCATGCCAATGTGTCTCCCATAGACTGGCCGTTAGAGTTAGAGCAAGTCCGACTGTACTTAATGCCAATACAAAATGCTCACATTTTGTGCTTCTTGGACAAGAGCTCAGAAAATAGGCCTATTGATGTTGCTCAGAGAAAGTTGGGGGGGGGGGGGGTTGCAGAGAAACACACTATTTTCAATCCATATATTTTCCTAAAAAGCTAAATAAATTAGAAAACTTGCAGCTGAAACAAAAATTAAAGACCACAGAGGAGAGACAAAAACAAATCAGTTGTCATTTGTCTTGAAAAACTTTTTTATTATCCTCACATTTATCTGTAAGGGCCAAGCAGCCATGAACAAATTATCCTTTCATTAAAGTACAGTACAGTAACAGAAATAACTTTAGGTACCTTCATGTACATGTGAGGGGGTGGTATGCAGAACCCACTAAGCGACATTTTGGACAAAAACGAGATTTTTAGCTTAGAAATGCACGTTGTTACAGGCTATCAGATGCATGGAGTGTTTTCGGCCAAAACCCAACACATACTTCAAAAAAGCCGACAAAACAACCTTCTTTTTTTACGCATGTTCCTGCGTATAGCAGCATTTTAAAAAAGCTGAATTCCTCAAAAGTGCTAAATTGGATGAAGCGGCTTTTTTGCATCTCAGCCCCGCACGTACAACACCACTGCTCCAGTAGCCCATACACTGTGTACTAAAGATGGAATGTCACTTTATAACTGGTTGCTTTTCAGGACAAGCGGGCTAACCCAGATTTCGGGGGTTTCCAGAAATCTTGACCAACACCAAAAGTGGGCATTGCCCTACCTATACTATAGGAGAAGCTTGGTTTCGTTGGTGTGTATATTTTTTTCGTTATAGTTATAGAGAAAACTCTCCTTGTCTTTTTTTTAAAGAAACTGAACAAGGGGAAAAAACTTTACCTTCGATTTTCACCAAACAGCATTTTTCGGGATATCTCCCTTGAGCTTAAAAGTGACCAATTAAGACCCACTTCATACAAAACAAATATCTCAGCACGGGTTTTAGACGCACAAGGAAGTCCATACAGCAGTCACAGGTGATCAGTCTCGCATCGCAACATATTTCTTGTGGCTGTGCAACCATCATCTTAAAAATCATTTGTGTCACGACGCGGTGGAATCAGGCGCTCGTCAATTTTTGGGCATGTGGAGGTATTGGTTTCATCTTAAAGTTTGTTCTGTTGTCTTGAAAAAAAGTATCCATTAATCTTGAATAAGAGTCGAGATATTTGAGATAGAACAAAGAGGGGGGGCTGCTTGGTTTCAGAGGTAAATTTGCAAGAAAATAGTTGCCAAAGTTTGGCAACTTCCATAGCTTAAGAGTCCTTGGAATCTGAAAATTTACACGTTGTGAGCTTTAACCTTTAATCCACACCGAAACGTGTTTTTAAATGGACAGAAAAGGTGTTGAGCCAAAAAACAAAAATTCAATAAAAATTGCCAAACTGGCAAAAAAAAATGCCGTTTTCTTCGATTTCATAATTTTGACGAGTGTCTGATTTCGCCATGATGCGTCACATATTTCACGTGGCTGTGCACCCATCATCAGAAAAAATACCATTTACACTGACAATGTGATAAACTTATAGTAATGAGACAGCATATACCGCGCATTTCCTTCACAATAATATTGCACATTGGCTTGACCAGTCATGTATCTACAAGGATATGAAATACCTAAGTCCTTACATTCACCCTTCATTCATTTCATTATACTATTTTCCTCTACTTGTATATATGATAGGCCTACTATCTTTTATTATGAGCAGCCCCCCTCCCCCCACCCCACCCCACAGCCCCCATGCATGCGACACCCTCTTTAATTCTGAGCCCTATCCTCACCCCCCCAACAAACTCTTCTACTCCGAGCTCCCTGCTTATTACACCCTCTTTTATTTTGAGCTCCCCCCACCCCACTCCCTTTTTTCTTCTCATCTCTTTAAGTTTCCTTTTCCAACACAGAAAAAAATTAATTGCAAATACGTCAACTCCACACATTCCATTATAATATTATAATATTAATGGCTGCGCCGGAGAACAGCGACTGCTGACAGCATTTTATCGGGGGAACAGCGACTGGGGAACAGCGACTGGGGAACAGCGACTAGTATTTTACTAGATTTCTTTGTTCCAGTTTGTCTTGCTGCCGCATCGATACCATGATCAATACCACCAAGATGAGGTATTCGCTTAGTACACTCGCTGTTCCCTGAACGAATTTTTTCCCTGTTTTTTAAAATAGAGTAGCTGTTCCCCGGTTCTCCGATAAAATCAATACCGTCCTTCCACGCATTTCTGAGTCTCAACACACAAAAAATCCTACAATTAACACTTTCTCCTGTCTCCTGCATTAATATGAAAAAAAAAGTACAAAAAAAACAAAACAATACAACAGTTCAAACAGAAATATGAGTGGCATTTTGATCATGAGAACGATTTATATAAAATTAAGATCATGAAAACAATGAAACAATTTGAAAGACAGACAACCCAGAGGGCTTCGAAAACTAAAAAAACTACTCTCACATCAGTCAAAGGAAGCACTCTCTAAAGTTATACATTAATTGCAAATGGGGAATTCTTTTTCCTGGCAAATTTCTTTTTCCAAGCAAATATCCAACATTTCCGCTTCAAATAACATTAAATCAGAACGGGACAATCCAGCCCACGCTCACCTGCCTTAGCCCCATTAACTATTAGACAAAAGAAGGTTCCTGAAACGAGTTAGGTTCTAATTTTCAACTGTTTAGTTTTAGAAAGAGTATTGCAGCGCTCGCAACTGTATATGGATTTTAAACTGTAAATAATTGAAAAGTCAGCTACTTATTTTCATCACTTTTCACGGAACAATTTCTCTACTGCCCTAGCAGGTCCGGAAGTAATAAATAATTAGCCTGCTGCACTTCAACTGGACACCAATGCCCTCAAACGGAGGAGTAACCCATACCAGCACGTCAATCAGGGAGCCAAGCAATATTTCTATTGATGCAGGATAGATTTTGTAACTCTTACGGACTACTGGATTACAGTCAAGTCCATTTATAACAGCCTCTGTTATTACAGGAACTTGGATAGAACAGTGATAAATCAAATCCTGGGGATCCTGGGAGGGGGGGGTTCTATATAAGTGTAAGTAATAATATGAACCCGGCAATAACAGAGTTCAATTTGCACAGACTCGGATATAACAGTGATCTTGCAACACATGAGCTTACTTTCGATCAGTCAAATTATTAAAATTTGTCTCAACCAAGACATTTCGCCTGTTTGTATGAACGCTTGCCTAAACGCAAACTTTCAAATACATCCCGCCCCCCCGCTCATAGAGTACGGGTCACTGATCAATTCCGTCTCAGTGTCAGCAAAACAGCCCACTGGAAAAGGATCTGTGGTAATCGAATAAACATAGTAAGCTGAAGGTGCAATGGCTCTAGTAGTTTCCCTTGATAACGGTTATAACAAGACTCGCTTATAACAGGGGAAAACTGCTAGTCCCATCCGTCCTGTTGTATCCGAGTTAGACTACTTTCAAGCAAGAACGAATCATATATACACAAATAACAATGACTGTAGACATACTTTCATCAATAATCCTGTCTTTCTTTCACATGATGCAACTCTCAAACAGAGGCTTCCTTTGTTCATATGGTGTTCATCTCCTCTTGGATTTTTCAAGAGGAAAAAACAACAAAATACTCTTAATGAACAAAGAAATACAAACAATGGCACATCAATTTTCTATGCCCACCCAACATAAATATGGCAGTGAAAAGAAGTGCAACAGTCAAGGAAGAAAAATGTCATTTTCACCATCTCACTGTCAGAAAATACAAATGTATAAATTGTAAACACTTTATATTTCACACACCTGATGAAGATATTCAAAAGAAAGAGAATTCTGCCCTGTCTCTTATGTATATGAAAAGCAAGAATGACAATCTTTATCACTATTGTAACGTTTAACCCTCCTCAAATCAGCCAACTTCTTTGGGTGAAACAGCCTTAAGTCAAGCATACCCACTAGATTTACAGTTACAAAACTTTATCAATCAGAGAATCCAATTAAAATTTAGACAGTACAAAGGAAGTACAAAAGGCACTTGTCAAATCTTCACAATGGCAAATAATCTCTTTGAGATTATAAAGTCAGTATTGTATGTCGGATTACAGTTGTCCAATCTTTTAATCACGACCACTTTTCATCTTTTGGCAAACATTGAATTATATAGTCTACAACTACCACAGACCTGGCACAGTCAACACTCAACTCCGTAAGAATTCCATAACTTCAAGCATCTGTAAGTACTAAAACTACTTGACTAGACTGAAATGCAAGCACTAACCAAGTTGCAAACATAAGATATATATAAACTTTCCAATTAGTTCTTGAGGATATTGCAACAACTGTGAATAGAATAAATTACAAATATTAAAATAACACAAAGATCACATCACAAAAGATGAAGTTAAACAATGAATCAAAAATGAAATTGGACCATATGCTGACCTTCTCACTCTGGTCAGGAAACGCAAACTGCAATGGTATGGACACATCGCCCGTTCTTCCGGCCTTGGTAAGACGATCCTCAAGGCAGCGTCCAGGGAAAAAGGAGCAGAGGCAGACCGAAGAAGAGTTGGGAGGACAACTCACGAAAGATGAAGACCGGAAGGAGTGGAAGAAGCTGGAGGCCAAATCTTCAAAAGCGCCCCCACGGACATCCAGTCTACGGGATAGGTGAAGGTGAAGGAACAGACTAATCAAAATATACATTTTCCCCGGGACAGCTGTTATTTATGTATGCAGACTTCTCTCTTTTGACTTCCAAATTCCCAAACCCTTGACATGGTGACTGGTTCACTCAGTGCTTGATGGAGGTGATCTGGTCCTGGATCTCATCTAAGTAGCTCAGGCTGGGAAGAAAATCAAATAAAATAAAATATAAGGCATTACGGTGAAATCAGGTGCTCATCAAAATAATAAGAAACAGACATTTTTCCTCCAGTTTGGCAATATTTATTGGATTTTGGGTTTTTGGCTCAATACCTTTTATGTCCATATAAAAAGATATATCCATGTGAACTTTATAGAAAAACGTTGATTAATCGCTCAAAATATGTCAATTCTCAGTTTTCAGTGACTCTTAAGCTATAGAAGTTACCAAACTTTGGCTGCCATTTTCTCACTAATTTTACATCTGAAACCAGGCAACCCCCACCTCCTTCAACCGCAAATCTCTCGACCTCTATTCAAGATAGACAGTTATTTTTTCCATCCAAGTCAAGACAAATGAACAATATTTAAGATGGTACCAATAACGCCCCAAGCCCAAAAATTGACGAGCGCCTGATTCCACCACATCGTGACATAAATTTCCATTGAGAAACATGTTACAAACACTATCATTACAGTAGAATAACTCTGTCCAGGAATCTTAAGAGCAGAACAGAACACATTCATTGAGAGTGTGCATCTCTTCTTTTTTTTTTTACCTTTTTCCTTTTCTCTAACTTTTCTCTAAATGTCTCAAACTGAGTTCACATTAGAATTCTGGAAAACACTGTGACAGAACTGTGACAGTTAATATCATCTTAAGCAGTAAGGCAGGATCATGTTCTTTTTCCATCTTCTCATTCCCACTTACCTTCTTGCAATGGCTGACTGCCTGAAAAACAAATAAGAAGAAAAGACATTTCAAAAAGATTGTAAAAACAAGACACACCAAGGAGATGGATGTATATAAGTTATGCAGGCAGACATACAAAAAAAACTCCAGGAATGTACTAGTGGTTAGGTTCTCAGACTCGTAAGGTAACCGTACGGTCCTGGGTTCAAATCCCGTCAGGGGCGCGAATTGAGAGAAAGGCACTTTATACAAATTTTTATCAAGAGCGTAAGAAGCGTAATTAGTTGCAGTGGCTGGTCTTGATCACATAATTGTAAACATACATTATAATGTAATACTATAAAGAAAGGGATTTAAAGATTTAAATACACACCAAAAAACTTTGGATAACCATTCATTTTGTTATAAAAGTACTCCAAATAATGTCTGGAGATCTGTGAATCAATTACCTTTTAGAAAATGGCATTTGGTGATTTGTTACCGCCTGAAATACGGGGTAAAATGACAACCATTCAAAAAGCACAGAAACTGAAGTGGATACTACGACGCAATACCAAAACACTAATTAATACGGTGACTGGTGACGTTAAAACAAAAACAAAGTGAATAAAGCTTCCCTACTGGAATTCCAGCTGAGAACGCATCAGATCCATTTTCCTCATAGTCTGCAAAATGAAACAAGACATAAAATTCATTAAAATAGTTTATTACCTATCATGGCTTCTATATAACATTGAATTTAAACACAGCAAAAATTAACACCAACGGAGATTTGAAAACCTTTGCTTCCATCTTGTTAATCTTTTCAACACTCAAGAGAGGGCCATCAACTGCTGAGCTATCATAATACTCAAATTGAAAAAAAACAGTAACAATTCCGCCATATTTTGTGACGGGCAGTCCTGCTCAGGCCTTGCACAACAAAGAAAGCCTATTGGTCTATGTAACAGAAAAATACCATTGCAGTTATTAACAACTACAGAAAGAAAAATTCAAACAGAAAAATAATCAAAATCTAAGTGTACTGCGTTCAACGGAAGAAGGGATTTTGTTCAAAACGAATGAGCACTAAAACTTACCTCATGTGAATTGTGGACATAGCTTTCTTGAGAAGCAAAATTCTTTGCAGCCTGTGCCAAGAACTGGAAGGAAACAAACAATCAATATGAAAATGTACCAATTGTTTTAAAATTGAGATTAAAAACAGAGAAACATGGCCCAATACACTGCACTGGATCTACCGTAATCTAAAACTATGTATCAGAAATTTATCCAGGTCTTTCAAAATGTTGCAACAATAACTGGAATAATAACATAAAGTGAAACACCTCCAAGCAATAATGTTTTGCTCCAATCAACAAGTAACAAAAATGCAACCTCAATGTAATCAGTTGTTGTGAAACTTCATGTCACAGAGATTTTTATTATCTTGGTGGAGACAGAGATTTGGTCCATCCATCATTACTTCTGCTGGTGATTTTTTGTACAATGACATCAAAGGGGGTAAGAATTATATGCAGGCTGTTAAAATATATTAAACGAAGTGACGATTCGGACTCGAGTCCGATTAGACAAATATTATATTCGGACTCTGAATTGAGTCCAGCATGACATCCGTTCCGACTTCCAACCCTTGTTCCTAAATATTTCCTGCATCTATGAAACATTTTTCGATTATAATGATAACAATCAAGACGTGAGCTACATCCAGTTACTAAATCTATCTAAATTGGCCCTCCTTGCATCATTAGTAAGAACAGAACAACCAAGTTGAGTTGACCTTGCCGGGGGCAAAGTTAACTATGTCGACCAATGAGATTGCACGTACCGATCACGCACTCTCAGCTTGCTGGGGGAAGCGGCGTTGGGAAGAGGCCACGGCTGTCGATTTTGTGCTAAGTGATTTTTTTTTTAAATTAAATACAGAAAAACTATAACATACAACAAAATGAAATTAAACATGTTGAAACACAAATGGTGGTGGAAGTAATGATGATGCTGAAGTGGTGGTGGAAAGACCCTGAATTGTCAGTACCGTGTACTTAGACACTGCCATGCGCAATGAGAATGCAGTCTTTTGACTTTTGACACAATTACAGTTGTGGCCTCTTCCCACAGAAAGCTGAGAGTGCGTGATCGCTACGTGCAGACTCATTGGTCGACATTATATACTTTGCCCCTGGCAAGGTCAAATCAACTTGCTTTCTGTTCATACACCTGGCAGCTTTCACAAATCAGAGGCCTCAAGTTTCCCTGACAGCCTCAGTTTTAGAGACCCCAAAAAGTGGACATATTGCATATGTATGGAAAGCTTATTTTAAGCAGAATAAGAATAACACAATCACAGAGACAGCAGACACATGTTAAAGGAGAAAATCAAGGTTAAAGACAAGCCTAAAATTCAATTCAGACACCAAATTCGATTCCGTTATGGTGTCAAGCAGTGTAATATTTGAGAAATGGCATAGCATACATAAATACAATTGTGGATATGAAATTCAAAAAACCAGCCATAAACAAGAATAATACATACCTCAATATATAAAAAGACCATGGCAGATGCAAACAACAACTGTAGCCCTTTTATCTGAATTATTTGCTTAAAGGGAAAAAAATATGGGTTATGTCCCTTGTGTAAAAAATAAATGTGATTATCTCCTTTTGCGAAACACGTTCAAAATGTTTGTTTTTCACCTCCCTGTATTTCTTAATGTTTTGTGTGTATCTATTTATAACTGTGTGTATCTATTTATAACTGTGTGTATCTATTTATAACTGTTGTGAGAGTTAGATTGAATACTTTTGAGTACTGAGAAGCTGCATTTGTGGGTAAATAAGGAAATAAACAATACTCTTGACCCGTCTCCCAACCCCACCCTTCCACACAAGAAACAAGTAGGCTACAGTAACATAGCATTTTATTTACAGGCTCTATACAAATGATAAAAAACAGTGAAAAAAATCAAATTAAAATAAATAATGTCCTCTTGCTGTGATGTCTGGAGGTGTTAATAATGATATTGAGGTGACATTGGAGTCTAGAATATTTATAATGTAAGTGTTGTCTGTGTCAAGTGTATAGTGTGATCTGTGTTCTTTGAAGTACTGGACTCCAATGTCTCCTTCTCTTCTTGTCAAGTCAGAGGCCACTACCTGCAAATGACAGAGATAAAATTATTGCAGTAGTCTTTTAGTGTAGTGTAAGAGGCTACATTGCACTATATTTTATCACAACATTGCAATTTGTGAATGGTATTATATGTATAGTAGGCCTATTAACATATAGGCTAATATATATAAAATATATGACAGTGGACAATGTGAAAATATATTATATATATTTGATAAAAGTTATTAATCTATGTGTGAATAGCAGAACTTGGTTTTGAAGAAAAAAAAGACAAATTTGTTTAAAAAACTCACGAGGCACTTGAAAGTTTTTGATGCCCCTCTTTGTGTGCTGTGCACTACTTCAACGAAGGAGCCAATCACAGGGGCTTGATTTCTGAGACAAAATGAGTGTGATGTCAATAATAGTTCATTTAATGTTAATAATATAGAATTGGTACGGGTTTTCTTGTAGGACTATTTGCGGAAATTTGAGTTAAATGTATAGGCCTACTACAACTGAAATAGAATGTTTAAAAAACACTGAAGTACCTGGCCTCCTCCTCCTGCTGTGCCTCCTCCTCCTGCTGTGCCTCCTCCTCCTCCTGCTGTGCCTCCTCCTCCTGCTGCTGTGCCTCCTCCTCCTCCTGCTGTGCCTCCTCCTCCTGCTGTGCCTCCCCTTCATCCACAGGAGCCTGGATAAAAGCCTCGTCGAGATTTTCATGGAGTCTGAGAATGTTTATAATCAGAATATAAGTTTTTTTTAAAAGATTTGTTCTATCAAAGCATCAAATAACAGTTCATTAATTTAACAGTAAATCTGAAACCATTAGAACCTACCTGGACAAATGGTGTTCAGTCCAAGGACCTACATACTGTAAGTTGACACAGAAGCTGGGCAAGTTGCGTCTGCACGCAGTGCAGAAACATGTCAGCCGTCTGCTCCTTAAAAAGTAGTCTGCCAGTCGTTGGACCTGAGAACACAGATAACAAACAATCAACAACACAAACTTAGGCTGTGGTTGACACTTCAAAATAAAAGACATCAAATAGGCAATAAGAACACACAATGTACCTGATGGAACTTCCTGGTGCCGACGAGTTTTAATGCTGGTCTCAGGCCGGTCTCTGCTGATGTCTGAGATCAAGAAGAAAGTTCGTGCCGAGAATTCCTTCTTGACACTCAGATTCTCAGAGGCCCACTTGAACAGATCATTGGCATGACGGATATTGACCTGTCCTCCCAGCACGGCTTTGCGTACTTGTTGAGAGAGGACTCCGGTCTCACCATCAGCCTCACCTTTTCCATGCTCGGATCCATAGTAGACCCGCTCAACCTCCAGTCCCTGGAAAAGTGAGAGGTCTGCCATGGATCCTTTTCCCTTATACTGGGAAGCACAGCCATCACTATAGAGTATAACTCTATTCAGGTTGACCAGCTCTCCCACATGTCGTAGGCATGTGCAGTAAAATACTGCACGGCATGATGATCATGTTTAATGTCGTCAGACAGATACATCAGCACGTGCCGGAAGAGCTGCCCACGCTGGTCTTTCCAATAGCACCCTATTGGGTGGAGGGTTATTTGCCTCTTGGCAAAGTGGGCAGACTTGACCTCTTCAGAGAAAGTCGCTTTCCTGTTCTCTGCGAAATCCTCCACCATAAGGACTTCCCCTGAAATTTAAAAAAAAATCTCAGTAAATGAATATAATACAGCTTTTGAAATGATCTTTAGTTTGTGACCAATATTAGCAAGCATAGATCTAGTGCTAGTGTTCTAGATCCAAAGGCAGTACAAATTTTAATGTAAAGTGCTAGAATAAAATAAACTTTATGACAAACCTGGCGTCAGAGAATACTTCAGCTCACGGTATTGCGTTTGCTGCCAGTGGGCAGTAAAAATATGTTCCCGAAATGTGGCAGTCTTCGTCATGTTGTCAATCCCTTGTTGGAGACACTGAAGATCTCTGAAATACAAGTATGTAGATATTAATTTGTAAGTAAACTGCCTTATATAAGCTTTCTTGGACAAGGGGGTAGGGGTGAAATACAAAATATTCCTGGTATGGTATAAAGACATCTGTGAACTTACGCCACACTCCCGGAACATGTCGTGATGTCCAGCTTGCCATCCTCCCTTCTCCTTCCCCACTTGCTCCAACACAGTTGTTTGTGCACAATTGGCTGCACCAACAACCTCACCTCTCTCAGTGTGTCAGCACACTCATCACAAGTCCCTGCAGAGTAAATAAGTTGCAAAGAAAACCCTTACAATAATGATGTTTAATGGTATGAATGATCTGAAGTGGGCTGAAAAAAAAGTAATATTACTGGCTGTTGAAACAAAATTGAGAAAACAATCCCTTGCCAAATATGCAGTCTGCCTTTGGAGTCTTCGCAAATTGGCAGCAGATAAGCCTCAGCAGCTTATCCTCTGAGGGCAGCACAGGTTCCCCACTGGCGGAAAGCACCCTGTTCAGAGCATCTATCTTGTATCTGCAAAATTTTTTTTAAAGGGAAATTATGCCCTAGCACTATTGAAGAGAGCTGAAAATGTTTCACAACACTGATGATTATAATTTTACAGCTTAACCACTTACTTTATGTTAAGGCAGTATGCACAAGCATGTCTCTGCTGGCACTGAGCCCAGCCTCCGCACATTCTTGGGGCGTAGTGTCGTAAAAAGGGTGTATCCCACCTTTGATTCTCTGTTTTCGAGGCAGAATTGCCTCCAAGCCCCCATCAAAGACATGACCATCACCCGTGCGGGACCATGCCGAGTGCTATACCTCGCATGTGGCAAGGTACGGCTGATGTCAAATCGACAGTAGAAATCCTGGAAAATAAGACAAAGCGCTATTTGGTGTGAGCTGGCTCTGGGTGAAATAGTACAGAATAATTTCAAAGTACGAGTAGACTATGCTCACAAATTATTTGCTTTACCTTCACTGCCTTGTGCCATTTCTTTTCTATCATCTTCCTCGTCTGGCGCACCAAACCTGTGGCGACAATGCTCCGACTGGAGTTTGGACTTGTTTTTCTGTTAAAAAATAAGAAGATAAAGAAAAAATAACCAACTTACTGGTGCAATGTCTTTTATTCTTCTATCTTTTTTTCTCAAAATTGGTACATACTATAATTAAATGGGTAAAGGAAAAAACTAACTTTTTGCCGAACAGTATTCTGCGGGCCTTCTTCTGCGGCGACTTGAGAAAGTTCCGCTTCCTTAGGGCTTTCTTAAATTCTGGTGTTTTTGGGTTTGCCAGGCCCTCCACCAGTCCAGCACTCTCCGAAGGCGTTGGCAGGCGAAGCAGTTTCTTTATTTTGCTCTTTATGTTATAAAGAGTCTTGCGTGCCAAATTTCGGGGAGGAGTAGAGGGGTCAGGAGCTGTTGAAGGTCCGGGAACTGCAGGTGGAGACGGTGGGGCATTAGGCAGAGCCTGGGCTCCAAGCTGTGGAGGAGTCTGGATGGGAGGGCAGGGACCATCACACTGTGGAGAGGGTGGAACAGGTGTAGAAATAGCCTGTGGATGAGAGGTCATGCCCCTCTCTGCATCCCGCTTGGCCTTTATCTTTTGTCTCTTTTTCTCCCTGATCCACCTTTTCTTTTGAGCCGACTCTCTCCCTCTCGATTCTGCTCTTTGTCTGTGAAGAAGAAAAAATATATTGTATTCAAACATTTGTTAAAACATTAACACAATTTCCCTGAAAAATTGAGCATTAAAAAAAATGTACATATATACTTACTGTCGCTTGTCCTCCTGGAACTCGTCATGATTCTTGCCTTTGGGTCTTTTCCTACAATATGTTTCTTGTACCTCAATTAACATGCACAATTGATCAACACAATAATATTATTGCTATAAAAAGATGCATTTACATATCAATTACTTACAGCCTCCTGTGCTCGCGATACTCATCAGGAGTCATGTCTTTTGGCCGCTTCCCACAATGGATTTCTTTTCGGACTGGTGGGGTCCTCGGGGTTCCTCCAGCACGGGTTACAGCCCCGATCTTTTTTTGGCCCGAAATCTCTGAGTCCAGATCTTAGATTATAAAAGAAAGGTCAAAAACATTCGTTTAATTACACAGGAAGAGCAACAATCGTAAATTATTTTAAAATCATGTACCCGCACAAGGCAAGAGAAAAAACAATGGGAATGCTAACCTGTTCTCCCTTTGTGCTTCGAGTAGCATCTCCTTGGCTCTAGTAAGAGGCTCTTCCCTCAGATCTTGGCGTCGACGCCTGGCAGCCTCTTTTTGCTTTCGCAAGTACTCGGCGTACTTTTCTGGCTCTTCTTCTTTCATTTTCTTTCGATACCGAGCCATTCGTTCCGCCATTCTGACAAAAAAAGCAATTTGAGTCTCAATACTAAAAAACTAAAAAAATAGGGGCAACATGTCAAAGCATTTCATATAAATCTAGTTAGAGAGCTTAGAAAAAAATTCTTGGTTTCCAAAACTTGACGCAAACATTTTCAATTTAAATCTAGATATATCTAGGACTGTTGCCTTGATCTACCCAAGTCTATTACTTGACCACTTAGTACAAAATCTAGATCTCATAGTATTTTGACACCTGAATCTAGATCTAGACCATGTATAGGACTTAAAAATGAAGAATAACAAAATAAAAACCACAGCCCCCCCCCCCCAAAAAAGAAAAACGGAGAGAGAGAGACACAAAAAAAGAATAAGAAAAGTACAAAAAAGAGAAAAATAAGAAGAGAAGAAAAAACAACAACACTAAGAGTGAAATCTAGCTCTAGAATCCACGTAAATTTAATAGCTAAACAAATATTCTCTTCTATCTGTGAACGCGAGTAGTCTCAAAAACCGCATTCGTTCACAAATCGCGTCCATAGTGCATCGTTCGTACACTTCCGATAGACCCAGTTGTTTGTTTGTTCACATATCGCGTCCATCTTGTGGCGTTCGTTTACTCCCGAACGACCGAGCTGTTTGTTCGTTCGCCGCCTTGTCGTAGCACGCGGTATGATCGTAACAGACACCGATGCGATCGTTAGGCTTGTCGATTAAAACCTAATAAAACCTAAATTAAAATGTTTAATTCAAAACATTTTGCGATTCTAATGTTCAGAGATGACTGTTGATTGTGCTGACGATGATAACTGATAGCTAATGTCGATTATAAAGGCGATCCGCGTGCTTTTTTCCTAAATTAGACCTAGGTGAACGAACACACGCAACAAACATACTTGAGACCCATTAAATAAACCAGTCACGTACAGAAAAACTAAGTCCAACTCACAAAAAACACACGCTTACCTCGATTCCTTGAAGACTGAAGAGTATTAAATCCCGATGTTGACGGCACCACGGTCAGTGAAAGAAAGGAATGATCTTCAGAAAGCGCGCGCTACGTCGTGACGCAATGCGGACCCACGTGACCCAAACTCTCGGTTTTTTTTCCAAATAACAGGGTTTTTTTCCCCTCCCCCACAAATTGACGTTTTAATGCCAAAGTTAAGCCTATTTTCCATTATATTCACACAAATAAACCCTGGATATGCAAAATGTTCATACTTTGATGAGTGTTTTTGTCAACCCTCTATCTGAGACACACGTGATCTTTAAAAATGTGCCAAACATTTGTTTTTTTTAAATGCACATTTTTTTAACTTTTCGTCTTGAATTTAGTTTTACTTGTTAAAACATTAACTTAATACACTTTCCATGGCAAAAAATTACAACTGCAACCTGTCTTGACTTTTATTTAAAGATTATCCATGTGCATGCTATTTTGAGGGAACTTTCGTGGGTCTCATTTGTTGCATTTGTGACACTAAAATCAACAAAAACAAGAAAAAAACACAAGGAATCAACACCATCTTGTTTTTATTGTCTCTTTAATGACCATTTTGTAAAAATAACACCAAAAAAGTCATGCAGAGGGTCTGTGGAAGTTGTAAGAGGCATTACAATTTTAGATTGTGTTGGACAGGAAGATTTGTGAAAGCTGCCACCTAGGCTTTCTCAGTTCCAGGCCATACAGCACGCACGACTGGCCTCGGCATGGACCTTGCCTTATCCCCCCCCCCCCCCCCAACTTAAATTTGACCAAAAATCCAAAACAATGAACTAATGAACATTCAAAAACAATTTCAGCAATCTAGCAATGCCAATGAAAATTTAAATTTTCCCTTTTGCCCCCTTTTTTTTTGGTACCTAAGAAAGAATTTTCATTTCTAATAATCATGCTTCTTGAATTTTGAGAATCGGTTCATAAATAAAAAAGTTATGGGGTTGTAAAGGTCGGCAAAATATGGATGACCCACATATAGGAAAATACTCCTAAAAAGTGGACCACGCAGTAGCAGATTCTGTAAGAGAATCGACGATATCTCGGTAACTAATCCGAGTGTTCGAGAGAAACTTGGCTACCCGATGTGTTTCTGAGTGTAGAAATCATTTCTGCAGTCAGATTTACTACCAATTTCGTAGTTATTTTGTTATAATTAAAATTGTGGTGTACATATTACGATTTGGCGAAAAAGGGGTGTCGGGATGAGTCCATTTTATTTATAGCATCGTATCACAACATGGGATCTTTAAGAATATATGTCGGCAGCGTGACAAAATAATTGCAAAGCTTTTTATGATGACTTTAGACCATGCCAACCGTAAAAGATAAGTTAATTCAATCTAGCATGCCGTACAATTAAAAATTCTTTTTCCCCGTTGAGACGCGAACACCCCGAGACGAGATAACCTCGCCTCGGAATACCCCCATTGCGATGTTACAGGGGAATAGAGAGAAAAACAACCGGATGCGCGCGCCCGCGATTGCCCTATTTCAAGTGACCAATGAACGGGTCCGGAATAGTCATGCGGGGATTTGTAGGTCACATACATTTGCCACGAGAGTGAGGGGAAAATGGCCGGTCTCCGTGCGAAGCCGCTTTGGATAGGGGGGTAGTCGTAGATTTACGATCGGGTCTAACAACTACTTGACACAGAACTCTCAAATTTGAGCACACTATAGTAAAGAGGATAGATAGATCTATTACCATCTGGGCGTTGAAATTCAAACTCCTTATAGTTTTCGGTGCACATGATACGAAAGTGTTCCCGACACCAAAAGTATAGGTTAATTTATGTGTACGAACTTCAACGTCCACATATCATTAGTTTGCCCTATTTTCTGATTGGTTGCCGAGTTTCATTCGGATTGGTTCGGAAATAGAGCAGACCGAGGTTGACAAAATCGGGTCCGCAAAATCGCCCGTAAACGGGGACCAAATTTTCGCCTCGCGGGAAAGCCCGATTGGCATTGCTAAGCAATCCCTTACTACACTGTGTTTGCACAACTTTTACAGAGAATGAAAGAACGATCAGTAGGCCTAAACCAACGGAGGCAATGGATGGTGCTGTGCACTTTCTTCAGTCTTCAGTTAGTTGTAGTAAGTTGTGTTTATGGTGAATGAACATACACATGACAATGTAACATAGATCTAGATTCTAGATCTAGACCTAATAAATATCAGTATTATCTGCTGACAGTATTGTAGTGACAGTCTGCTCACCGATGAAGGAGGAGAGTGACGGTGAAATGAAATGAAACTAGATCTAGAATCTAGATCTAGAATCTAGATTTAGAACTAATTTGTGATTTCACGAGTCAAGAGATACTACATTACCTCATTTGATTTAGAACCTCGAATAACTTGGCGAGCAAGAGAACCAAGGTCATTAACATTGGCCGTTATCTTCTCATTCAGTCTTGCTTTTGTTTCTTGATTCCAATTCGACGATGCAGAAGTTCTTGTGGCCGCCATGTTGTAAACAAAGAAAGCTGAACAAACTGAGCAGCCAGCTACAAGGTGTGGGGCAATGCCAAAAGACCAATACGTGAACAAAGATAATAAGATACCCAATATTTCGTACGAGTTTTCGTGTTAGAGTAAAGAATGGACATTATTCTAGTGGAAAATATAAGAAGTGTTAGTTCTTTAATTGAATTTTCCTTTATTAACATTATGGTTGTGATTCCTATTTCGATGTTGTCCGCTTGAAATAAGAGCCTTCTGTCACCGAAAACGTCGATAAGAACAGGCACCTATACAAATTAGTTTTACTCTTTAAAAAGAACTGTTCTTCGACCTAGATTAGTATGTCTATAGCATTGAGTTTCTTGAAGGAAGTCTTTTTGGTCTATAAAATCCATACTTTGTAGTCTTTCGGGAGGTTTATAATAGAGGTGATTGGGGGTCTTTCATTTGCAAACATGCAATAGCCAGACTGGCATATCATATTGCTCTTCGCCTCCCTTTCGGATCTTTAATATTCGGGATTTTAATATTAATAATTTTAATAAGGGGGGAAGAGGAGAGAGAGGAGAGAGAGGAGAAGAAAGGGGTGGGGATACGGGGGAAAATGAGGAAGAGGAGGAGGTGGCGAAAAGGGGAGAGAGCAGCAGGAGGCTGTATATTTAATAAATTATTTACGTTAACAAAACAATATAGGTTCTTACTAAACAATATAGGTTCTTACTTAAAATATTGCTCTTAAGAAGTCATTGGAGTTTTTCTCAACATCACCAAACGGAAAATATGTGTTTTACATTTTACATGGCTTTCAGTAAAGACGTAGGCTATTTTACCCCCCTTCGTGTGTGTGTGTGTGTGTGTGTGTGTGTGTGTGTGTGTGTGTGTGTGTGTGACGTTCGGTAGGCAGTGATCAAGGGTTAATAAAAATGACGGGAATTGGAGCTGTAAAAGCCCTCGGTGAAATATCATACATGAACACCCTTTTTCGGGTGAATATACTTTGTTAAATATTAATAATAATAATGATAATAATAATAATGATAATGATAATAATAATAATAATAATAATAATAATAATAATAATAATAATAATAATAATAATAATAATAACAGTAATAGTAATAATAATAATAATAATAATAATAATAATAATAATAATAATAATAATAATAATAATAATAATAAAATACGAAGAAGAAGAAGAATTAGAGATCTAAAAAAATAATATAATTGCATTTATATAGCACATATCCACGCTCTACATCATTCTCTATAATAATGCACTTTACAAAACTACATGATGTATTATTACCCCAGCAGACCCCTGAACACTCAGTAGTATTTGACTTCCGGGAAGCATACAGTGCAAGCTGTAGATTACAGGCAGACACTAACAAACTGATACTTTGGACGTACCCTAATCGGGACGAATCCAAAATGTTTTAAAACTTTCCTGGTCTTAAAATTGTCCTCATTTAAAAAATAATGTGTAGGGCCTACAACGCAAAATGTTCGCTAAAAGACTCATAACAATAAGAGCAAATAACAATGTAGTATGATAATGTCTTATAGCCTATAGGATAATAGGTAGCCGTGGATACTTATACATTTCAGCTACTTCGTGCAACTTGAACCTACCCATATAACAGGAGCCAAAGAAAGGCAAAATAATAGGCTAATTTCTATTTTTCTTTTTCTTTTCTTTTTCTAATAGCAGCCTTTTTTTTTGGGGGGGGGGTCAATCTATCTGTCAGAGAGAGAGAGAGAGAGAGAGAGAGAGAGAGAGAGGGGGGGGGGAGAGAGAGAGAGAGAGAGAAATTGGGGGTGGGAGGTGGGGGTCTGAAACAATAGGGCTTGCAAGACCAAGTATCTTATTTCAAAAGGTTCGCATCCAGGACTGGTAAAGTCCTTTATACAAAAATGGGCTGCGCACATTCGCCCACGAACCTTTGTATAACTTCCTTGGCTGCCCCACAAAAAATACACTATGCACATAATATACCAAAGATTCTCTACTTCCATTAGTGGAGAATCTTTGCATAAATATGTTAATCCTGTCCGTACGCCTGGGGTCATTTTATACTCCAGGGATTGTATTCTTCACATTTTAGAATAATTATTTTAGAGCGAAGATCTCTTTGAAACTTTCAGTATTTCTAAACAAAACAAAAATCATTTTGACTGACTGCTGTACAAAGCGTAGGCTACGGATCGGATTAACGAGTAAATTTCCTCTTTGGAAAGTGGGGGGACAGAGTTCCCCACGTCGTAGGCCTATGGATACGATAGTAAAAGACGATGTACGGAAAGGGTTAATCATATTGTACAGCTCTGACGTTGACGCTTTCCGGGCGATTGAAAAGTCCTCATTTAATACAAAAACGAACTTTGACAGTTCTCATCTACGACGAAAGGAAAGGTCCTACGTGACCACGAGAAGTGCTGAGAGCTCAGACCATGGGGAAAATAAAAGTTTTATGTCAGGTTCCAAGCTAAGACGTCTTTCCATATATTATTATTCCATGGGCCTTCCACAACCCCAGGCGGGTGACTCAGTCCTTTTGTGTTGAACATAATCTGCGCCTCGCTCTTTCCCAGCAGACCTCCCTGCAAGACGTAGGCCTACTGTTTGCTTTTGTGACGTGCTCGTAAATTAGAAAGCGCATTCGTCGTTGACAAACCTTTTGATAACCCCCTTTAAAAAAACAAAGCAAATAAATCAATAAATTTTAAAAAATAATAAAACCTTCCGTTGTTGTTTTTTGTTTGTTTTTGTTTTTGTTGTTGTTTTGGATG